CTTCTCCTCATCATTATCATCATTGCCTCTCTCAGTAGGCTAACAAACAAAGGATCATAGGATGGGCCAGATGGAAATTGAAGTTGATTAGAATGCTCCACAAAAGAACTACTTATAAACATTTCTACAAGAGTATCATTAAAGTCAGCAATATATCTACAATACTTTTCTTGATGATCCATATTGTGAGCCATACTTTTTCTCATTTCAAGCTACAATCTTTTGAATTCTCATAGAATTATGTCACCTTTCCATCTTCCCTCTAAGTTCAGCTACCTGATATCCTAGAGTCTTAGAAGTTTTAGTACTCCTACTGCTACTACTGGGCCTCTCAGACACTCTAAGCTCACTGAGGTCTCCATCCCCCTCCTTTTTTTTTCATCTTTCTTGAAGCCCAAAATTATTCTCTTAGTACGGGCTACAATGTTGAATAATTGTTCTTTAGTTTGATCCCTCCTTACACCTACGCCAATACATAAAGCTTAAACTAGAGAAGGATGCCCTAATCAAATAGAAGTGGTATCTCTAATGATGTACATGAGAGAGGAGAAAATAAGTTTTTCTACTTTAATGGAATACCTCATTTTAATTGCATAGTTTAAAAGTGCAAGATCATGGGTAACTTCACTAATGTTTCTACTAGGCAGTAAATAAGTTGAGATAACATTGTGTCAGGTCTTACAGATTTAGGTCAGGTAGGTGGCAAGGAAATTGATAATCTTATTATCTTTCTTTTTTGAACACGCTCCACTATTGGGTCCACACAATATATTTAGAATATCTCGAGGATCTATAGGTGTCCCAATAAAAGCAATGTATTCATCAAATTCAAAGTTCCTAAATTTGTAAATTTTATTTATTGTTACAGAATCAAAAGGGATCCACTTAGCCATAACATAATATTTATTTTCTACAACCCCCTTTCCATTTGTAAAAAAAAACTTTAACCACATTAATAATTGCAGCAAAATGATCCCAACATCTACTAGCAATAATTCACATGATTTGGTGACTAGGATTTTGAAAACACCTTTCAAATATTAGCTATTTGGTTACAACTAAATTGGTAAATCTGGATTCAGTATTAGCATATATGAAAATGCTCTTATCATAAAAGGAAGAAACCCTCTTCTTTCCAAACATCTTTGGGACCATCAATCTGAACTTTTATTTAGTCCAGTGAACGTACGCTCCTCTACGTTCGGCCACCAATGTATTCACGCCACGTAGCATTGAAGAAAAATCACCGACCCGACCCGCTGTATTTTGGGTTATCGCACGTGTTAATTTTTAAATGGAAGACATCGCAAACACTTCGAATAGCAATGCTTCACCTTTTTACGTCGATTCGAATCCCTGTTACTAGTTACTTCCTTTTTAGTTTTCCAGCAATTCCTTCGGAGTTCTCCAGCATTTCCTTCGTAGTTCTTCAGCATTTCTTTCGTAGTTCTTCGTATTCTCCTGTCGAAAACCGTAGCTGATATAATGCCTGAGGTTCGAAACGATTTATCAAAAAATTTTCATTGTTATGATATTGTTTATCTCGTTAGCAATCTAAAAGTACCAAGTTTTAGGGTTATGGTAAACATTTCTGGTTGTTTTTAAAACTCGGTACTAATCGGTATTCGGTATTAGGTTATGTTCGATTTTCTAGGTATTTGATGATGAAACTCGGTACACGTCGTTACTGGATGATAAAACTCGGTACACATTTCGTAGACATGTTAGGTTTTCCTTAGTAAATCGAACAGAACCCTAAACGACGTGTTTTAAATAGGGTTTAGGGTTCTGTTCTACCGTATAATTCATTACTCGGTACTCGGTACAACTTGGTACTCGGTACTCAGTATATCTTGTTAAAACTCGGTATTTTCTTAGTATTTGTTACACTTATTTATTTCACGTAGTTTTTCACGGAATAACTCTGTACAACTGTTATTTTCTTAGTATTTGTTTCACTTTATTATGCAGGGATATACCCCCAAGATTCATTTCAGATGTCGGACTTCAGGATTTAGAGAAGTTTGTAATGAAATGGTTGAGAAATTTGGGGATCAATTTGTTAGAAGCCTAAGTGAGCTAAAAATTAACCAGTTCCTACTACTACATCGGTTCCTACAAAATGTTCCTATTATTTATATGTTATTGTCAACGTGGGACAACAAATCTGAAAGTTTTGTTATTAACAGCCGGACTTTAGCTTTCACATCTAATGAATTAGCGTTGATTATTGGCTTACCTAACAGAGGTATTAAATTTGAACCTGGGACTGGTACAATTGCTGGTAAAATAGCAAATGACATAAGGCATGATATTCTGAAATTGGATTCCTCAACGCCCATCGAGATTGTTAGGGAACAATTTATTGTATACTTATTGTCCAATATTTTCTTTCCAATGGCCAACTTCCGAGTGCAATCAACAATATTGGACGTTGCAAAAAATGTTGAGAACCTTCACTCATTTAACTTTATCCTGTACTTATATATTTTGGATGTTTATAAAAAATTTGATCCAGATCTTGACAAATTTACAAGAGATAACAGATTATGAGAAGACTTTAATTCAGAGTAGTAAGCCAGCAAATGTTAGGGATATTACACCACTGACAACTACACATATGTTTAGTAGTAAGACAACTCCATCTCTACCAGCAACTTCATCTCCAACCAGTCCAAGCCCAACTGCTTCTCCTATTCATACTCCAACCGAAAGTGAATGTCCAATTGAATAGCCAATGAACACTGATCCTACAATTCAATTGGTGAGTCCCACTGATTGTCGAAGTCCCATTGATTCTCCTTTCCAAACGCCAATCAACACTGATTTGCCATGTGAAACTGAATCTCTTATTGAACCGACCATCGAAATGGGAAATATTGAACAAGCAGCAATTAAGAATGATGCGCCTATCCTACCACCAATCCGAAAGGGAAGTACTGATATGCCAAGTCCAACAACAGAATTTAGACAAGAAACTGATGCACAACGTAATGAACCTGAAGAAACAAATTTGAGGATTATCAATCAATCCATATATAAACTTATTACACAGCATGAATATATGGTCAAAAAAATTTCATCACTCGAATTGGACAAAACTCTGCTTCAAAAATGGGTGGAAGCATTGGACAATGAAGTATTCCAGTTAAAATCTGATAATAATGAAAAATTTTGTGGTATATATATAAGATATTGAGTCATCATTTTCCACACTATTTCACGTCAGAGAAAATTGGAAGTCCGGTTCATTCAAGTTCAAGAACCAAATCTGACAACATTATTGATGAAGTATCGAAAACTGTTGAAAAAATTGTTGATGAAACAGCGAAAGAAACAGACTTTAAAGGGATGGAAGTGGATGACAGACAATCTGAAGATGAGGAATTTCCTTTCCCTTCATCAGGAAGTGGAGGAATTGCTCGAAGAGTACATCTCAGGAATGACTGGAAAAGGAAAAGAGTTAAAACTCCATTCACAGCAGGTGATAGGAAGAAGAAGAAAGCTCAGTTGGCTAATGATGAAGTTGAAAATGTTAGTAAGAAGGAAACATCAATTAATGGAAGAAAACCAGTCACTCGTGCTTCAACAAGACTGAAAGAGAAGTTAACTGATACTAATAAAGCTTCTGCGCCTAAAAAAATTGCTCCTTCTACTACAACCGCTGAAAAACCAAAAACTGCAATTTATGATGTTGAGGATTCCAAAACTATAGAACATCCGGCCATGGAATTTTTGGATTACCCAGGACGATTACTACTTAATGAAGAAAAAAGGAATATCATTTATAACTTTCTTAAGAAGTATACAAAACAGTACGTAGTTTTATTAACAATACCGAGTTGTACCGAGAAATAAAAAACTCGGTACAACTCGGTATTTAACTTTTATTAGGTTTTTTTTCCTATATGAACTTCAAGTACATGACTTTATTCGCAATACTGATTAGTACCGAGAAATAAAAAAACTCGGTATAACTCGGTACAACTCGGTATTGCTATTTTTATAATGAATACTGAGTTGTACCGAGATTTAAAAACTCGGTACAACTAGGATTAATAAGTTTTTTCTAACGATGGTGAGAAAAATTATACAGGGAGGATACCATTTTGGCGAATGGACATGCAATTATTTTTAGAAGCCAAATGGACGAATTGTTGCTATGCGAAGAGCTTGACAACAATCATATGGACACTTTTGTATTTCTTTTATCTGAAAAAAAATAAACTGGTTCCAGGACTGAACCAACCTTTTCTATATGTTTCTGCTTTTCATTGGGTGAGTAATCATTTATAGTAAAGGTATAGTGTATATCATTAAATGACTGAATGACTTTTTTTTCCAGGGTTATTATATTCAAAATAAACAGGAAAAAACAACTTCATTTGTGGAAAATATCACCCGAGCTGCTGTTAAGAATGCTAGCATTATGTTTGTTCCCATCATAAACGAGAAACATTGGACTTTGCTGGTTGCAAACATGAAGACAAAAAGATGGGATTTTATGGATTCAATACCCAAAGCAACACACAAGGCTATTGCTCCGGAAGTGGTAAGAACTTAGGTTTATCTTTGGTTTAATGTATTTTATTGAAGATAAATATTATAATTTTATTACCTTTACAGATATCTCATTTATACGATGATGCAAAAGATGCTTTTGAGGATGATATAAGAACCTGGCCGATCCAAGCGATCCCAAACTTGCCAGCACAAGATAACAATGTCGACTGTGGAATGTTTGTATGTAAATATATGAAACAAGTTATACAAAATAATAATATTGATTGGGACATCCATAAGAATTGGCAAAGTAATATGGCCTTATTTAGGGCAGAATTTGCTTATGCCATTTTTTGTAGTACGATAAGATAAATTTATAAATTTTCATATGATATTTTGTGTTTCCTTTACTTTGCTGTGATTATAAATTCCACTAATACCGAGTATGAAATGCTAATATCAAATAGTACCTTCTTATTCAGAGATCTTGATCACACTTACATAAAGGATGACTGACTTCCTAATTCTGCAGGTGTAAAATATAAAGTTGGATTAGGATTATGCACGGTTGGTTTCACTTTTTTGGCCTTCCTCTTCTCCCAATGATCCTTTAATCTAGCATTAGATACTCCCTTAGGCCGGCGCTTTGCAGGATCTCTAATTGATTTGTGGATCCCCTCAGTTATACATTTATTTCTTTTTCCTTCCATAATGTTTTGAACATTTAATGCCAATGCACTCATACCATCTATCATACACTGTTCTGCATCCTCATTACCTTGAGCTTCAGTGCTAATTTGATAAGCAAATCGATAAACATAATTTCTAAAAATCATGTTTCGGGAACCTTGATTCAATGTGCACAAACTCTTAGCCATACGTTGGACATTCAATCCACTATAAAGATCGTTCCTAGCAGTTGCTGACCATCTTGGAATTAAGTATTTCTGAGAAATATTAGTAACATCCAACTGACTCATCACTCTCATGCAATGAGAACACAGGATTCCCATCATCTCGAACTTTCTGCAGCTGCACTTTATAATTCCTTCAGATGAACTAAACAAAACCGTCCACTTGTGTGAATCAAAAGTATGGTCTATGTTTTGCACAGGAAATGTTGATGAGTCTGGTGAAGAGTGATCAATGCGTAGTCCACCTAAACCATTCAAAAACTCCTCTTCAAAAAATGAATATAACTTTCTTGAATAAAATTTGGCTGCTTTCTTTAATATCGGACTTCTTTTCATGTACGGTTGTATCTTAGTTTGAGAACATCTAAAAAATTCATCTCGTTCATTCCTACGCCAACTGTTTATAAGTTTCTCCAATCCAAGGAAACATTCGGTGAGAGAACTTGTAGCCTTTGAAATACCATGGCAAACAAAATTGGTGGACTCACTACGTTGTGTAGACAATATTCCAAGGTTAAAGCAATCTTTGTTGAAAGCTGTAGACCACCTTTCCCATATTTTGTACAGATCATTTAACCACTGATGGCTGTGTAAGTCTCCTTCGCTAATCATCTCATTCCACAAACTATCAAATTCCTCCGCGGAATCACACTTGTTGAAGCAACTATAAAAAAGGCCTTTCACTTTGTTGTTACTATTAAAACACCAAACTTTCGAAGGAGCCTTCTTGTGTATATGCCATTGGCACAACCGATGTCTTGTATTAGGGAATACAATCTCTATCGCCCTAGCCATTGCTTGATCCTGATCAGTGAATATAGTAACTGGATGTTTATTATCCATAATTCTTAAAAAGGTTTGAAATAACCAACAGAATGAATCAATTGTTTCATCAGATAGAAAGGTCATCCCTAATATAATGTTTTGCCAATGATTATTGACTCCAATAATAGGGGCACATACTAAATTATATTTATTCAGACGGTAGCTAGTATCAAAAATTATTATATCCCCAAAGCAGTCGTAATCCACTCTCCCCAAATCATCTACCCAAAAAAAGTTTACCAACCTTTCTTTATCATCAGTTTGCACATCCCATGCAAATAGATTGTCTTCAGCGGACCGGTTTTTGAATAATTCGATTAGCGAATTGCTGTCCCCATTCTCAATTTTTGCTCTTATCTCCTTTTTAATGTAGTTGTATGCATCTCTCTTGGTAAAGCCCAGATTTTCTACACCTCCAACCTCCTCGGATAGATAGGAGAATGCATTTATTGTTCTTATTCCCGCATCAGCCATTGATTTCAGAACAGAGGTATTTTCTTCAGTGATGTGCCCAGATGATCTCAGCAAATGTTGATCATCCGGTTTTGCCAATTCATGGTTGTGTGTTTCTACCGAATTTTTCGCCGTCCATATCCCTTCTTCACTAACAGAAAATCTCACCATAGCAGGGCATCCAGTTCTTGTAGTTGATTTTCTAAATTTAACCTTCTATATGTTTTGTGTTTCCTTCTTGAATCCAGATTTTGAACAGACAAAAACCTTTGATTTTAATTTCCTGGTACCAGGACAGTATGAAAGATGTTCTTTACAAACATTAAAGCCATGCTTATGTGCATATTGACAATATTTAACATATGCTTCCTTCTCAGATTTGTAAACCCCCTATAAAAATAAATTACAATATTCATTAAAACAACAGAATAATTCCCTAATAAGAACATGAAAATGAAGAACTGTACCGAGTTTTTTATCAATACTGAGTTATATATAACTCAGTACAAATATATGGTATTTAAAGTCTAGGGATATATAAGACATAAGTGACATAAAGATAACAAAAACTTATCAATACCGAGTTATAAGTATGAATACTGAGATATACCGAGTTCTCAAAAATCTCGGTACAAGTTCTTCATAAGTATAATATCGGTACAAAAATCATTTTCAAGTAATAGAAATTAAAATCTAGTTATGTAGAAGACATAAGTGACGTAAAGATACTAAAAAATCATCAATACCGAGTTATACATATTAATACAGAGAAATACCGAGTTGTCAGAAATCTCGGTACAACTTCTTCATAAGTATAAAAAACAAATTCAAGTAATATAAACAAATATCGAGCAGTACCTACTTATAAAAAATAAAGTTACATTAAAATATCGAGCAGTACCGAGTTATCAGAAGGTTAGGTACAAACAAAAATGAGAGTATCAGACGAAGATGGATGACAAATTACTTGTAAAAAATAGGAAAAATCATCATCCAAAGTATAAGTGCCAAATGTTTCGTCGAAATCGTCTAACTCTTCCAAAGTAGGAGTTCCCAAAGTACGTTCCTTCGAATCCATCGCGTTGAACGCTTCGCGGAAGTTTGCGTAAACCCTAAATACTGTATAACGTTCTGTGTACAGTAGATAATCGGCCAAAACTTTATATACCCGCGTGTTTTAAAGTTTTACCGCCCGTTTCAACGAAATTAGTGAAAAGAGACGTCAAATATCCAAAATATAACGGGTTTGGGTCGGGTCGTCGGGCTGCTACGTGGCGTTAAATTAATGGTGGCCGAACCTATAGAAACATTCGGTCAGAGGATGTAATAATTGTTCCATCAATCTAGAGTGGATTAGAAATGAGAGAGTTTGAAGGAATAGTTATGATATGAATGAAGTAAAAAATGAAATCCCCCAATTTAAAACTTTCTTGAGCACTATGGTGCTACAGGAAACTCTGCCGCGATGCTCAATCTTTAAATAAAATGAAAAAGTGGTTAAAATAACAATCGTTGTAGCGGTCTAAGCCATATGGCACAATGGCACTGATTTTCAAAAATTGAAGCGTCACCTTGGAATTGGCTACAGCTATAGCATTTGACACGTGTAAGTGAAGTGGCAATTTTGTTAGTATCTATCATAGTGATATTAATGAAATAATAATAAAAGTGGAAGTGGCGCCATGGCATCAGTTACCAGCGCTGCGGTGCTTATCAAAGTTTCATAATTAAAATTTTGATCATACATTTTTTTTGACTTGGCAGAATCATTCTTTTGACTTGAATAACTAAACACTGTAGCACTAAAACAATCAGTGCAGTGACGCTTAACTAACCAAGCAAATGATGGTTTAAAATGAGCATTTCCCAAGGTTTAATGTTGCAGCGCTTATTTTCAAAGTAGCAGCACTTGGGAGAGTAGTGCTCGACGATTAATCACTCAGTGCTATGGCGCTTACTTATTTGCTCATTCTTATTTACCACCTTGTGTTTTAACACAAGTAATAGCTCATCTTCTCATGCATACATATTTTTAATGATTTGAATATAAGCGCTACTAACTCTTTTTTTTTTTTTGCAAGAACTCTCAATAACACTCCTCTTTGAACTTTATCATATGCTTTCTCTAAATAAAAAAAAATCATATGTAAATCCTCCTTATTCTCTCTATATTTCTCCATCAAACCTCACAATAAAAGTATGGCTTCCATAATAGACCTACCCGGCATGAATCCAAATTGATTTTGAAAAATTTATCAACAAAAAAATATCTAATATGTGCATCATCTAGCAAATGTCTAATAAGAAATAATATGAAGAAAAAAAATCTTACAATGGACAAAATTTGGAGGCGGCAAAAAATCGAGAGGCGGTGAAAATTCACGATCGGATTTTGGGAAACCGATCTCCTTTCGCCGGCGACGAAGGCGGTGATCATCGGTGACGTCCCATGAATGTCTACAAAGCTCGACGATGGCAATCTAGGGTGGGCAACACAAGGGTGACAAGAGAGAGATTGGAGATGCGAGAGAAAGACCGGAATGAAATGAGCAGCCAGACAGGTCGTGTTCGGAAATAGAGCTTTCACTGGCGGACTTTCCGGCGTCCTGGACGTTGGAAATTTTTCAGGCACACGTTTCATCGATTCCAAGTCATTGATTTTAAAATAGCCGGTGTATTATTCACCAGTAAATGCACCGAACATATTCCGCCATAAACCCTGCTGGTAATAATGAAAAGCTCCTAATTTTCAACGTTATGACCGGCGCATTGGACGTCGGCAAGTTTCCGGTGTAAGATGCGCCGGAATAAATGTCGTTAATGTTTCGTCGCATTATGCGCTGGTACAAACGCCGTATTTACGGACGCAAAAAGTTCTGCCATAACGTCTGACGGTATTCGCGTGTTTTCATGTAGTGGTTGGTTATAACTTTAATTATTAAAATAAAACAAAATAGAAAACATGATAAAAATAACAATATATGTAATATGACTCGAGTAAATTCAAAAAAATAATATGTCACTATAAACATAAATTTTGTTTGCCTCCCATACAACGTTATGTTATCATTCTTCAACCAAACTTGCCTAAATTTATCAATTTGGCTGGGTACATTGCCACTAATCCTTAAATGCTTATCACTTAGATTTTTTTCTTTTTTCCTTTGAGTTAACTTTAGTATTATTAGGAAATAATTCAAGAGGTCTACTAGTGACTGAAATTACAAGATAACTTAATTGTGTTTCTAAATTTTTAACATAAGTAGCTTGATTTTGTAATTGAGTTCCTAATTGCATCTGTAAATCTTCCGATGGTGATTTTATACTTCCAAACTGATTGCTTTTATTAAATCCTAGATTATATGCATGTCTAGAATTAACAGCAGGTTGCTGAGGAATGTTCCAATTTACTCTTTGATTATTTTGATTGGAATTTCATTGATTATTCCTAGAAATATTATTTAACCTACAAAATTTGAATGTTTTCTTCAACATGGATTATATGTATAAGAGTAGGGATTATTTTGTCTTTCAATCAAATTAAAATTTTCTATCCCTTACACATTATTATTTTTCAATTAACTTTTGATTCTCCAATTGCATAAATAATTCAGTTCTGAATTCTATATTTTGTTCTAGTGTGCTCAACTTATTAGAAATGGCGGCAACTTATGTAGTCAAAATTGATAAAGCATTATATTCATATACTCATACTACTCTCTTAGGAGTTACCCTATCAGTAGGCTACTCAAAAATATTAATAATCATTTCCTCTATTAATTCATATGCTTTCTCAAATGGCTTAGATATTAAAGATCCTCCAACTACAACATCTATGATTGCTCTAAGAGATCTCACTAATCCATTATAAATTTTTTAAATAGCCAACCAATCAGGTAAAGTATGGTGAGGGTATTTCCCAAAATATCTCTCAACTATAATAAATCAATTCTCCTTTAAATTGTGTAAAAGACATTTTTAAGTTTTGTAGTCTTTCAAGGTGAAAAATACTAGACATGAAACTTATGAGCCAACTCATTTCAAGTGGTTATAGAGCCTAGGGGTAAGGAATTCAATCACATTTTAGCTTTATCTCTTTGAGAAAATGGGAATAATCTAAGTCTAATAGAATCATCACTAACACCACTATACTTAAATGTTGAACAAATTTCTAAGAAAAATGCTAAGTATAAATTATGACCTTCAACATGAGTTCTCCCAAAATGGGAATATTAAACTATTTGAATTATGGCTTATTTTAATCCAAAATTTTTAACTTGGATCATAGGTCTATTAATTCTTTGATGAATTTTGTCTATTAAAGCATTAGCATAAACCCTAAAAGTTCTAGATTGATCTTGATCTAATACAGATTTAGCCATTTTCAATAACTTTTTAGTTTTTCAAATTTTTAAAAAGGTTCTTTATATTCTTTATATTTCATTGTCAAACAATAAAAGTTTTTTCTATTTCTATCAAGTTTAAAACCATGAATATGCAATTAGTAAATAAATAAAATAAAATAAATGATGCAAGTATGTTTAACTATGCAAATAATTTAACAATAGAATTAAAATTTATAAAAAGTAAAATACTTCCTCGGCAACGGTGTCAAAAACTTGATGGGGCTATGAAGTGAACTTTTTAAATGTATAATCTAGGGCTCTATCACCCCTAAATAATGCTTATATTTTCTTTGATATAAAAATAACAAACCCCACTTAATATACATAAGTATATGTGCCAGATCAAATAATAAAGTGATAGAATAGAGTGTCGAACCCTTGAGAAAGTATACTTTCTTGCAATAAATTACGTCTGTTAACTCTAATTCTAATAATTAACCAACTGAAATAAAAATGATATTTTTGGAGATTCAGCCACTGAATAAAATAGTAAAACATTTGAGATAATATTTAATTAAAGTTTTTTGGATTGATAAATTGTATATTTTTTCTAATGAGACTCTTCATGACAATGTAATTTAGAGCATATGCATCTCTAGATCTCCAGTGAGCTTGTTGGAGTGAAAAGGATATCTGCTGACATCCTATAGTTATAACATCTCTTTAAGAACCTAGAATATTATATATATTATGTCTATCCATACAAACATCTTATCTCAATACTCCTGCTTGTTCTTGAATTCCTCCGTTGAGGTTATATATCAT